GCGAACAAAAACAAAACGCAAAAATCACGACAGCTTGTGTGTTCTGGGTTTGTTTTGATCGAAACACTGCTTTTTACGTCATAGTTTCCTGCTCCCTATCTGAACGAATTTGATCACTTCTCGGGCGCGTACTGTGCCGCCCGCCTCTCTCAGCTGCCAGCCGCCATCCCACCATCCCGAGCACGCCGTCTGCCTCGCTCCCGTGTTTTCCCGGCGTGAGGCGGCGCCGGCGGCTTGTTTGTTCGGCCGGCGGCCGGCTGCTCCGTGTCAAACCGGCGCCCGGGCATCCGCTGATTCAGTTAACGCCCCGTTTCCGCCCGTATTGGTGCGGCCGCTCAGCGGAGCGCCCGGCGTCTGCTGACGGCCGCGTGGCCCGGTCGTTTGTCGGCGCGCTGTTTGTTGATGTGCCGCTCTGCGCGCTCGTGCGTTCGTCGTTGTTTGCCGTCCGCGTGCAGCGTGTTGAGCAGATGGTTTCGGACAGCCACGTCGTCCAGCCGCCTGACCGACCAGGGTGGCGGCCAGCGACAGTGCAGTCACTGGTCGTCGGCAGGCATGTGGTGGCGATGAGTGGCGTTGTCTATTCTCGCCGACTAGTTTATTGACCATCCGCCGGCTCTACAACAACGACGGTGGACGGCCAATTTCTCGGCGTATGTAGCCGGCTGGCCCCGTGATGTACCACAGTGGTGGGCGGCTGCGTTCTGTAACCGAATAACTGACTGACCGACCGGCCGCCTGCCCGCCAGGTGTACGTGGACAGCGAGCTGGTGACGACCATCAGCGAGGGCGGCAGTTTCGGCGAGCTGGCACTCATCTACGGCACGCCTCGGGCGGCCACCGTGCGCGCGCGCACAGACGTGAAGCTGTGGGCCATCGACCGCGACACGTACCGGCGGTACGTGACGCCCCCCACCGGCCCCCTGCCGGCTACGGTCGCGACACACTTCGCGACGGCGTCCGACTTCGTCTCATCACTTAGCCGCCTCCTTCGTGTCGGAGGTCGGGCGGGCCTTTGTTGAGGTCGGGTCCCGGGCCGTCGACGTGGGCATGTGCTGATGATGCAGCCCCGCGGCTTCCTCGAGCTGTTGGTGAGGTGCGCGGCGGCGCTCGATGGACCGCGACGTCGGTGTCGGCTAGCGGCGGCCTGCTCCGACCGATCCGCGTGCTCCCCGCGTGCCGCGCTTTCGACAGCTGGCAGCGTCCGATGCGGTGCCCGCTTGGCTGGCAGTACCCGCCCCCCCCCCCCCCCCCGCTCCGCCGCGAAAGCCGGCGATGATGGGAGGAGGCGAGGGCGGACGGGAGAGTGGCTCCGTGTCACACGCGGTTCCGTGACGCGTCTATCTCGGGTAGTCGCGCGCGTGGCGGTGGGTTCGTAGGGGAGGCGTGTGGTGACGGCATGTGCTGGTAAGCCGGCTGGGGCAAGATTGGGGTGTCGCCCGCAAGCCGGTCGTGGCAGAGGGTAGTGTCGCAACTGCTGGGTGCCGCGCCAGCCGAGCGGCACCGATCTCGAGCCGGCGTCACGCGTTGGCGTGCCCGCCTCCCGCCGCGCGAGTCGCGCCCCGTCTGACAACCTCGCGCCGTGGGCCGACAGGATCCTCATGGGCTCCACCATCCGCAAGCGCAAGATGTACGACGAATTCCTCAGCAAGGTCTCCATTCTTGGTGAGTGACGAGCGGCGCCCTCTCCCGCCTCGCTCTTCTCGTTCCGTGCCGCGCCGCGCCGCGCCGCACCGCGGATGGGTCGGCGGGGCGCTTCACGTGCTGGGCACCGTGACCGGCGGCGGTGCGCTCAGGAACGCTGAGCTCGCCGATCTTCCGTCGTGCAGCGGCTGCTGCTCTCTGCTCGCCGTCTTTGCTTGCCAGAACGTGCCCTTGTCTTACCCCGCTCACTCCTCGCCGTCTGCGTCCTCCTTACGTCAGGACATCCTAGCCCGTTTTACCCGTTCCTGTATTACCTGACCTTTTCTCATTGTGTCACAGTGTTTCACACAGTGAAGAAGACAACAAGATGTTCAAGATGGAAACAAAAGACACAGCCTCGCAGTGTCTTCGTTGTCAGTTATGCACAACGGGGCTTTTCGTGGTTGTGGTTAAAAGTCCGATGTTGTTGATGAGCGGATTTGCTATGAAATATGTTCTGTAGCGCGCTGTCAGCCTCCGGTCCCCGGGAATCCCTCCCACATCGCACCGCTCGGCTGGCAGAGGCAGATGTTGGCTCTCTGACTTCCTCGCAGAGGACCTGACGTCCCCGCAGAGAACCTGGATAAGTGGAAGCGGCTGACGGTGGTGTTGTGCCCCTTCCTCACAGAAAACCTGGATAAGTGGAAGCGGCTGACGGTGGTGTTGTGCCCCTTCCTCACAGAAAACCTGGACAAGTGGGAGCGGCTGACGGTGGCCGACAGCCTGGAGCCGGTCTCCTTCGACGACGGCAAGGCGATCGTGCGGCAGGGCGAGCCGGGCGACGACTTCTTCATCATCGTGGAGGGCACGGCGGCCGTGCTGCAGCAGCGCTCCGAGGGCGAGCCGCCCGTCGAGGTCGGCCAGCTCGTCGCCAGCGACTACTTCGGTGAGACGGCGCGGCACGCGACGCGGCGCCGGCGGTCGGCTGCCCGGCCGACAGACCCGTCTCCGGCGCTGGGGGAGTGGGGACCGAGGCAGTGGCGGTGCGCGGGGAGGGGCGGCACCGGTTGGCGGTGGGAAATGGTTAGTGAAGCATAGCGCTGGCGGATGGAGGGAACGAGCTATGGCCTGCTGCTAGTCTTCAGCTGTCGAGTGGAGGGGGAGGGGGAGGGGGGGGGAGTGATAGGGCTATGCAGTGTTATCCATTGGTTGGTACGCTCTGCCGTCTCAGGCATGTTCTTCATCTGTTGGTTCTGATTTTCCTGCGCCACGCGCCATTCCTATTCGTGGTCGCCGGGTTTTGGTCACTCTCCTGCCCTCAGTAGATGCTCCTTGTGCCCCATATTGCATGGATTGCTTTCCCCATCTACCATTGTGTGTCTGTGGTCTCACTGCTGTTTGGTTTATAGGCTGTTCTCTGCGCGTCTGGCCAGTGACCAACTTAGCGTTGGATACGGTGTGGGATCACCGTGCCATAAAGCTCGAGCTTCTTCCTCAGAGATGCCTCTGTTAATACAATCTATACCATATTATCTTTTTGTACGACGTTAATCTGCTTAAAGCCCTATTTTGTCGCTTGCATGTTATGATATTTATCGTGCGCGCCGCTTTCAAGGAACATACGCAGTGCCTGTCCTCGTACGCGTGCCGTATCTGACCTCCAACGCCGGAGTGCCGCGTGCCCCCGCCCCTCCCCGCGGCGTGTCACAGCCGGTGGCGGCGGCCCCGGTCTGACTGGTGCTTGTCCCCCTTGCCACCAGGAGAGATTGCGTTGATGCTGGACCGGCCCCGCGCCGCCACCGTGGTGGCCCGCGGCGCCCTCAAGTGTGTGCGACTCGACAGGGCCAGGTGAGTCCAGTGCCGATGCCGGGCCGACTGTCAGGCCCGGGCGACGTGGACGGCCGGCCAGCGCTGGCGGCGGCTGTGGGTCAGGTGGCGTGTGTGGCGCGCTGCTTGGCAGAGCCCCAAGGTTCGGAGGTGGGGCCGGTCGGTTTGTCATTGGTGCGGCGGACGCTGCGTCGTGGAGCTCTTCGTGGCTTGTTTACAGAGTCGTCGTGCCGAAAGGGCTGATTTAAATATTGTACTTTGCTGTGTTTGTGCGTCAGTTCTTTCATCGCACTCAAGCGTCGGGGCATGCCAATGGCATGCTATTAGTTTTTTATGCAGAGCTTGTTGCGGTGTGTTAGAAGGTGCTTATTTATTTAGCCGCAACGTCCGCCAGGTAAAAAGAAACTAAATTAAGAGTTTGAAGGGCACGTCGAGTTAGCTTCAGGTGAACTCGGGACTTTCATTTTAATTTCTTTCGGAGTCGGTTGATGTTCAGCGTATTTTGACGTGTTTTTGCTTCTGTGCACAGGGACGTGGACCAGGTCGGTCCGTGGCCGACACCCTTGTCGCATAGTCTTAACCTAAACCTTTGCATCGCGCCATGGCAACTCGAGGGAATTATTCACTCCTGCAGTGTTACGTTGCCGCCTTGTGTGTGCCTCCGCAAACTGGATTTTTTTGCGGCGTGATCACATATTGATTTCATGCTGTTGTTTACCTGCAGATAACTAGTAATCTGGTGCTATGTTTCTCCAACATCGATCCTCTGCTAGGCGAAAGCGGTGGTGAAGGTCTACTCCACAAGCAAGCTAACGTTCCCTGGAGGCAGTATCATTGATTACACGCCCATTTGCTTTGATGTCTGCCGTTGACGTACCGTTCTCATCCTTCCATCCGGCACTCAGGGTCTGTCGTTGATACTAACAATAGCGCACCTGCGCAATAGGCTGCTCAATGCCTGATGACAGAGCACGGCCGGTTGGGAGACGCCCGAAGCCGCCGAGCGCCCGCGGCCGGACATGACCGTGACGTCATGCACCACGTGACTGGCCCGGCTGACCGCCCGCCGCCTCGCCGGCAGGTTCGAGCGCGTGCTGGGACCCTGCTCCGACATTCTGAAGCGCAACATCACCCAGTACAACAGCTTCGTCTCCCTGACAGTATAGGCGGCCGTCCGTGGCGGGAGCATCGCCGACCGGACCGGACCGGACCGGACCGGCGCGGACCGGCGCGGCGCGCGGCGCCAACCGGGTCCGTGCTGTGTGGACGTGCCGCGCGGAGGCACAGCGCGCGCGCGCGCGCGAGTGGCGCGAGCGACTGTGGACAGCCGGGGCCCGAGCAGGCGGGCGGGCGTGGAGCGCGAGTGCCGCCCCAGAGCCGTCCGGCGCCGACCGCCGCGCCTGCGCAGGGCGACGCCGCCCCGCCATCTGGCAGCACCCGGAGGAAGATCTGGCAGCGGCGACGGCGCGCCCGCTGGCCGGAGCGCAGGCCGCCGCCTTACGGTCCGCCTCGGCCCACCATTTGTACCTAGATAGAGACTAATATTTATTTACACAGATGTACGGCGCCCCCGCGCGCGGCGGCCGCGTTTCCGTTGGCTTCGTTCGTCTCGTTCGGCGCGCGCGCGAGAGAGCGCGGCAGTGTAGTGTTTTCTGGTCTGGGCTGGTCCTGTCCCCGGTTGTCTGTAGCAGGGCCGGCCGTCGCGGCCGGCCGCATGCGAGCGTGGCGTGTGGCTCGGAGTCGTGTTATCACTTCGTGTTTCATTTAGATTAAAGCCGCTTCATTCCGTGTGGAGGCGTTTTTGGAGGCGGTGACGGGAAGCCGAGACGCACCTGGTTCATGTGTTCAGATGGAACAGCGGAAGTTCTGAATTTGAGTCTTCAGCGAGGGCAGGCGTCATGAACGTGTCGCCAGGCCGTTGTTCTATTTACCACGATGTTGGCACGAGTTTTCTCGCGATCTACTGAGGAAACTGTGGTCACTGACAGTTCGTTACATAAGGCCATTGTCAATGCTTGGTTCTCGACGGTTTGTACAACTACCTCTATCAAGGGCAACGCGACAGATTCGGAGCCCATCTGGGGTTTCTACAATTATCGCTTGTCGCGGGACGACCCGTAGTTGGAACGGCCGCCAGTCCAACCAGCACTACTGAAACCACACATCTCTCGCCTCGGTCAGGCCACCTTTAGGGCGATTTGTACATACACCCGGGAGCAGGTCTGACTTCATCGCCGCAGTCTCGCGTCCCCCCCCCCCCCCCCTCCCGCCGTCGTCTCCCGTCTCTCCACGCCGCCGTCTCGCGTCTCCTCACCGTCTCCCGTTTCTCCCCGCCACCGTCTCCCGCCTATGCCTCGCGTCTCCTCGCCGCGGTGTCTCCCGTCTCTCCTCGCCGCGGTGTCTCCCGTCTCTCCTCGCCGCGGTGTCTCCCGTCTCTCCTCGCCGCGGTGCCTCCCGTTTCTCCTCACGCTGTCCCAGACTCGTCCATCGGATGGACAGCCGTCTTCGGCTCAGGTCGCCGGTGCGGCGCGGACGAGGCGGCCGGTGACCTACGACCCCCTCCCCCTCCCGCCGAGTGGGAGCGACCTGTGACCCGCGACAACCCCCCCCCCCCCCCTCCCCCGAGAGCCGGAGCTGTGGCGGGGACGGGCGCCGTGCCCGCGGCCGTCAGCTGCTTCGACGCCAGGTGGCAGCCGCACCCGGACCACAGGCTGTTGGCGCCAGAGGGGCGTGGTCAAACCCGCCCATCGCCGGCCGGAGTCGATCGGAGCGCGGCAGGCTGCATAACAAGACGGAGCAGCTCCCCCCAAAAGCGGATGACTTGCTAGTAGACAACACTTACGCACGGCCCTGATGTGGCACGCCGTCAAAACTGGCAGTTGTGACCGTTACATCCCTGTTATTGGAACGCAAGAAGTATGGCATAACTGAATTCTTCAGTCACGTATCAGGATACCACTCATGAACCCCACGATTTCTAAAAATCGCACCACAGTTGCCCCATCGAGCAACATGCTACGTACGTGCAGGCGAACGTATACGATCGTGGAAGAAAATTCAACTGAATTTTGGACAAATAGCCTTCACCAAATGGGGTTGCACTAGGGGCGTGTCCTAGTACAGTCCCAATAGCCTTCAGGGCCTCACAGCCGGCGTTCGACTTCGCCTGCAAACCGGCGCCTCAATTCTCGTCCGGGATGGTCTGCATTCACTGCTCTGCGGCTGGACACCAGTGACGTTATGGCAGTCTCTCCACGAAGAAGCTGAACCAGCGCCGTCCGCGTCTCACCCCCGCAGCGACGTTGCTCGCTCAACACCAGCACGACATCCCCGGGTCGAGCACGAGCGACCTGGCCCGGGCCACCGGCCACCGTCCACGACATCCAATCACAGCCGGCCGTGGCGCTGACGTCACTCCGCCGGCGCCAGCCTGCCAGCGGCGACGGCTCGAGGTTCGGGGCGCGCCGCCTGCCCGGCCACGCGGCGCCCACCAGCGAGACAGTGGCCGGCCACGACCGAGGGCTTGTATTGCTGTGTCGGTGGCACACGCGACTGCACTATCGAACACATGTACACTGTACAGGGGCCGCGGCCGACTTTGAACGCGCGGCCGGCGGCCGGCTTTGTACACGCGGCCGGCGTCCCCGGCCGGGGCGGGCCGTATAAAAGGGCAAGCAGGACGGGAGCAGGTGTACAGACCACGGGACAAGGGGGCGGGGTCGGGGCTATGGGGGACGGGGCTATGGGGGAAGGGGTGGGGCTATGCGAGGGGGGCACAGTTCACACGCGCACTGACGACACTGCGGGGAGGGGGCGGGGGCGGCGCGACACGAGGCTCCGCCCCGCCCGCACACAAACGCGCACCGGGTTAGCGGCCGGGGCGGCCGCCTCCGCCCTCGGCCCTATCTACGAGCGACCCCAAGCGGATAAAGCTAGCCGGCGCTGGCGGCCGGGCGGCGCGGCGGCCACCTCAGTCGTCGCGCGGGTCGGTATCGGCCAGCCGCGGTCGCTTCTCGTCGCTGGCGACCGGCGAGCCGGCGCGCTTCTCGGCGCCGGGGCTGTGCTCGGCGTCGCCTCCCGGCCAGAACGTGACGCGCGGTGTCGGCCCGGCGCCGCTGCCGGGAACAGACGGAGCTGGTCAGGGCCAATGTGGGGGCGGCGGGGACGGACGACGGCGCCTGAGGGGGCGGGGGGGGGGGGGGGGGAGGGGGCACCACGGACGGCGGCGTTGAAAGCACGTGGGAACAATTCGAGACGTGGCGACCTCCCACAGGTCGAAGGTGCGAGCGGTGACGCCCCGCCATTACAGCACACACTAATCGGACCGCGCCGCGGCGGGACACATCCAGAAAGCGCCCTGCATAGCGGGCCCTAACACTCTGGAGTTCCGACTCCAGCAAGCAGGTGGCAGTTCCAGCGACGCGATCGCGGCAACCAGCGTGAACCTACGCCGCAAATCAGCCATCACTCTCGCACATGCCGTTTGTGACTGACTGGCCTCGCGTCCCAGGCTTACTACCACGGCTAGAGCCGGCGTCCGGCCATCTGCCGGCCCCGGAGCGCGGCGGCATCACAGACCTGGTGTTGCCGGCCGCCTGGTCGCCGCCGGCCCCGTGCGGCGTCACCCCCGTCATGTAGGCGCCTGAAGGACGGCGGCAGCTGCGTCAGCACGGTCAGCGCGCGAGGCCCATCCACCGGTACAACACCAAGGACGCGAGGCCGGGCGGATTATGGGCGCCATATGACCAACGTAGCCGGTGCGCCCCAAAGCCCAAATCATCCTCACCGGAGGTCGCGCGGCACCCGCACGTCGGGGGCTTACAGGCCAACACCGACAGACGAGTCGGACAGCCGGTCTGGTTTGAAGGCAGAGCAGACCTCAGACAAATCACGTACGTAGAGCCCCGTCAGCGCCTCGCGCTCCAAGCGTAAAATTACACGCACCCCAGGCCGGCGAGCGAGTTACCAACTTCCGCTCACGCCTGATTGTTCCTTGTCATTTCTATAGCTCTCCTTTCACCACGTTCGCAAAACTTTAACGCAATCAAGACAACCCGCACCGCAATCACTGCCGTTCAGTGAGCGGCTCCGCCCTCCCTCCCCTCCCCCCCCCCCCCCCCAACAAACCCTCCTTCCGCCGCCACCCTGCGCCCTGGCTGCGCCCACCGGCGGCAGGCGCCCACTGACCCTGCAGGCGCGCGCCGGTGTCGGGCTCGTCGCCGGCGTCGGCGGGCGGCGCGCCGTTGGGCGGCGCCGGCGGCAGCCGCGGCCGCGGCCGCCCCTGCAGCGCCGACATCAGGTGCGTGGTGGCCGGCCCGCCGCCGCCTGAGCTGACGATCACCGTCGGGCCGGCGTACGTCGTCAGACCTGGCGGCCGGGCGACGTCAGTGAGGCGGCCCGCCGGGTGGAGGAGCGGAGGCGGCTGGCACATAATACAGCGACAACTAAAAAAAAACTCAACTAACAACAATCCATCAGCGTGCACACTGACTACAAGACGCTCGAGTCAAATGGTACAAACGCACCAGATCGGCGGAGACGGACGGTCACACACGCGGTGCGGCTGGTGCCAGCGGGCCCCAGTTCCACGGCGGCGCGACGCGCCAGCCCGCGCGAGCCGACCGTCGCCGGAGCGAGGCCGGCCGCTCACCCTGGCCGTAGCTGGAGTAGTGGTGCGGCGAGCCGGGCGCCGACTGGCTGGGCGCGGCCGGCGCCGGCGGCGGCGTGTCGCGCGCCGGCGACGGCTCGCGCGACAGGCTCTCGGGCGTGGCCAGGCCGGACGACAGGTGGGTGGGCGAGGCCGGCGCCGACCTGGAGGGCGACGGCGAGACACGCTCACACACAGGCAGCGCGCGCAGGCACCGCGCCGACACCAGACACTGCTGACTGGACCGCCGGCTGCAGCGAGTTACGTGCGGGGCTCACGACAAGAAACAAAGAAACCACTGGGGGAGAGGGGGGGGGGGGGGAAGGGGAGGAAACAGTTTGACAACGGGGCAGCTCGCCGGCGTTACACCCGCGGCAAGCGGACGCCACGCCGTGGTAGGGGCGGGGATCTAACCCTCTCCTTCCCCACAGGCTGGGCATCACCGACACACGAGCCTGCTGACCAAGGCGCCGAGCCACTCACCGGCGCCCAGTGGCTCACCAGAGGCGCGCGTTCAGCACGCAGCCCTGCGCCATTCTGGGCAAAGCCGGCTGCAGGGGCCCCACCCGGTCCGGCACCACACCACTCACTTGGAGGAGAAGCCGGCGACGGGCGTGCGGAAGCAGGGCACGCCGCGCTGCCGCCGCCGGCGGAACGCCTGCTCCACCAGCTTGGCCTCGGAGGCGGGGTCGATGCGCCAGAAGCTGCCCTTGCCCGGCTCCTCCTGGCTACGCGGCACCTTGACGAAGTAGCGATTCAGCGACAGGTTGTGCCGGATCGAGTTCTGCCGGCGGAGCGGGGCGGGTCAGGCCGGGTTAGTTCGGAGAACACGCCTGGTGGCGGGGGATGGAGTACTAACGGGCCTCGGCGAGCCACCAGGTGAGCGTTTTAGGTCGGTCTTTCTGATCGGGCGCAAGATGCGGCCGAATGTGCAACATACTTAACGCGACAAGAAATCAATCGCGATCAGAACTCCGCGTCATGCTGCATTCGTCCCGCTTCGACGACAAAACGTCCACGATCCACCGTTATCCAACAAGTCTCGCGCACAATTAACGTTATTCCCAACGGAGAACCACGCACAGCACTGCACGCCACTAGCCTCGCGCACCACGCACACCGCAGCCGGCGACATCACCCCAGCCCTCGGCCGCGGTGACCGTCCCGCGCCCCTGGCGTCGAGCGACGCCAGCCGCCGCCGCCGCCGCCCCCTGCCGGCGCGCGCCGAGACCGCTCGCCCACCTGCCAGCCCTTGTCGGCCGTGCGGTAGTAGGGATAGTTCTTGGTGATGAAGGCGTAGATGCCGCTGAGTGTCAGCTGCTTGTCGGTCGCCGACGGAGACCGCCTGCACGATCAGCTGGGCGTACGAGTACGGCGGCTTGCTCTCCGCCGGCTGCGGGCGGCGACACGCGTCAGCCGGCCGGGCCGCGCGGGGGCCAAACGCGCGCGCTAGTTACCCCGGGCGCCACCAGGCGGACCCGGCCGCGCAGCCTCTTATGTGAGCGCTGTGACAGCGTGGTTTTAGTTCCGCAGTGCACCTATTGAATCCACGCCGTACAGACCGCATATAGATATAGAGTTCATATCATATATCAGTCAAGAGAACACATACCAATATATAGTCCACAGCATATATCAATAAAGGGACCACACATCAATAGAGCTCACAGCATAGATCAGCAAAGCGGCCACATATTGAAGCAGCCCACAGCACGCATCAACCAAGAGACATCCGCATTGCGTTCACAACCGGCGGCACCGCACTGACCCGGGCCGGCGCTGCGGCGTGCTGGGCCGGCGCGGCGGCGGCGGCGGCGACGGAGGCCGGCGGCGCCGGGAACTGGGCGGCGCCGCCTGACGCCTCCTCGCCGCCGCCGGCGCCGTTGCTGTAGCTGTGGTGCAGCAGCGGCTCCTCCTGCTGGTAGTGCAGCGTGATCTCTGCCGCGAGGAGAGGCGCGCGCGCGCCAGGGCACCGTCAGTGTTCCGGTCGACAATGGGCGACGGCACTGTGGGTTGTCCGGGCGGCGGCGATAGACGGCCGGCCTTCATACACAGTTTCCGAATATGAACGGAGGACTGAAGCGACCCACCGAAAGATGCAACGGACTCTGAGCACAACTGTTAAAAGATGACGTCCGGCGGTTGGCGCCACGTGCACTGGTGCCGCTCGTCTGATCCTGTCACAAACTGCCTCGTCCATTCTCTCGTCCGAGCCAGACGCCACGCGTGCCGAAGACCGGCACACGTCAGCCCAATGCGCCCTAGAGTCCGGCCGGCCGGTCCCTGAGTCCCCCCCTCCCCGTCCACCCCACCCACGCCGCCACCGCGGCACCAGCACGTCCGTCTCCGGCGCGCCACCACCTCGGCGCCGCTCACCCTGTCGGTCGCGGGCGGCCAGCGGCGGCTGCTGCTGCTGGCGCTGATGCTGGCGCTGCCAGTCCGTCTGCACCGCCTCGTAGGCGGCCTGCACCAGCGAGGCGGCCAGGCCCGGCCGGCGGCCGGCGCCGCCGCGGGGACTCGTCGGGCAGCTGTTGGCGGCGCTGCAGCGGGAGTGCCGGCCGTTAGCGCTCTCTCCCGTGCTCGACAGACGACGCGAGATGATCGGCGGTGAGGGGTCAGGGTGGACTCTGGCATCGGCACGGGGTCGAATTCGGCGTGAAGGTGGTAGCCGGGGGAAAACGGTCCGGGGAAAAGCAACGGTGGCGGTGTTCATATGCAGTGTGCGTTTTAATTCACGGATACTACGGCCGAGTGGAGGGGTGTTTGTTCGGCCGCCTCGAGACTGTCCAACGATCTCAACGCATGCCCACCCCACAATCCCGACATGAATAACAGGTCGCAACCCGACCGCGCCCGCTACCACTGCCGCAAACGGCAGAAAATACCATGAACAGTTCAAAGCGCTTAGAGGCAATGCGTGTGCGGAAGGGGAAGGGGCTGAACCCAGATCGCAGCAAACAGCAACAAAGCTACCTGCTCTTAAGCCCCACTCGACATGAAAACCACGATCCCAGCTGCCGTTGTGATAGTGACCACGATTGCCGCGGCTCTAGCACACTAGGCACGATTCAAACGTCCAGGGCCTTATTCGGCAAACGGCAACAAGTCCCCCATTAGTAAACAAAGCACGTAAGCGCTGGAATATCATCGACCGAGTGGTCGCCGCGAGCAGATCGCGGGCGCGCCGCTCGCGAACGCTAAACCTGTCCGTCCGTGAGATGTCAATGAATCACACACCTGTCGACTGCGGACAGCCACTTCCGACAATTCACGCTCGCGTCTGACGCGACGCACGCCTCCTCCGCGCTCGGATCGCGCCCACGCCCCTCCCCGACGGTGAGTCACGCATTCCGAGCATAGCACCCGCTGTTTTCCCAGCCACGATGCATGAAAAAGCGACGATCCGTTACGCGGCGGCGCCGGCGGCGTGACGTCACCGCGGGGGCAGGCAGCGGCACATTCCGGCCGGATCAGGCCGGGCCTCCGGCTTCGCGGCCGGCACCGCCGCCGGCCGCGGCCGCGCCAAGCCGCGAGCGTGAGGTGAGGTGAGGTGGTGAGGTGAGGTCACGGGCACAGGTGCGGCGGTGGCAGCGGCGTGATGTTGTCGCTCTCCGCCCGGCTGCGGCCCACGCCGCGACATCGGACTGGGACACCCTGATGACACGGCTTATCGCGATCTTGTGAAGAGCTAGACCGGACGGCGTGTACACGCCTCGGGCAATGCTCCCGCCGAAGCACGAACCGGTCGCAGCGTCTACCAATAACGCGGTCGGTGATCAGGGCTTCAGCGCGTTTTAAACGCCTTGCTCCTGTTCCCGCGTCCTCCAGCCTGCCGGCCTCAACGCAAAAGCTGGCCCTTCCGGCCAGCCAGCCACGCTTCCGCCGCCGGCCCGGACCCTGACTCAGAGTGCGGCGCGGCCCTCAGGTCAGGTCACGTGCGCGGGCGGCGGAGGCGGCGCGCACCGCCGCGTCTCGCGCGGCCCCTCCGTCCCCGGGACCGCGGCCACGCTGAAGGTGGTGCTACGGCCGCGCGCCGCGGCTAAACCCAGCGAGCCACGTAATCTTCTCAGCAGGCGATTACGTGTTGTGGTACCCGGTAAGGCCAGCAGGCAGGAACTCCAAAGGTTCATGATCGACCGTCGTCACCGCGGGCTTTCGGGCTTTCGAGGACTGAGACTGATTGCCGACGTTTTCGCCAGGGACTACCACGGATTGATGATTCATCATGTGCCATCACGGTCTTCTGAGCATTGACGACTGATGATCAATCGTGGACCGTAAGGGTTCAAGCGGATAAAGCTCCAACTGAACACGCCAACGCACGGGACAAATAAGCGGAACCCGCCCGTCCGCCACCCAAACACCTCGCATCCGACGCGCAAAACAGCTCATGACCCGTCCTGTCGTTCGAAGTAGGCCGCGCCCGACACGGGGCCCCACAATGGACCAGGCCACGCTATTTCCGCGTCGGCAGCTGTCGCCACCGCGCCGGTGCGCCGTGTTGTTCATGGCCAGTGGGCACGTTCCGAGCCGGCGCTGGCACACAGCTGCCGCCGCGTCGCCCTGCTCACGTCCGATAATCGATATCCCACTCAAGGACGCCGCCGTGCCTGTTTACCACGCGGCAGCTTGCGCCGTCGGCCGCCAGGCGGCCGCCGGTGGCGCCGCCGCCGGCCGCCGGCCGAAGCGCGTCTGTTTACGTTCGGAGGCCGACCTTGAGACGGCGTCCGTGCGCGCGGCCGACAGGTATGCGAGAGGCCCCGGAGGGGGGACCGCCGCCCGTGCCCCCACCGCCGGCCAGTCCCGCCGCTGCCCGCGGCACCGGCCGCGGCGGCGCCGAGGGCGAATGGATGCGGCCGCCCGGTGCGCAGAGCTACGCGGCTGGATCAGCTCAGCGGTCCCCGTGTCGTAGTAAATGCCAGCCGCCCGGGGAACTGCGCCGCGTGTGAGCGCCAAGGCCGCGGAGCCGGCCGGTCTACGGACGGTGTCTTCGAGAGCACCGGGCGCCCGGGGCTGGTTGCAGACCGGTGTCGCCACTGCACAGCACGGCAACCGAACTGCACCGCTCTGGACGAGACGGGCCCGGGCCCGAGCGGGCGTGGGTCACTGGGAGGGAGGTGCGTCTGCCGCGCGGCTCGGCGATGTTGTGCACCGTCGCACCGGCGCGCAAGCCTTGACCTCACGTTCAGCAGCGCGGTACCGCACCTCGACCAAAACAAACCCGACCGCCGCAATGCCCGTCTGCGTCGCCGACCACAGCGGTGCACGCGTCGATAGCGCCCCCGCCGGCTATTACGAGCCGGTGGCCAGCCGTCTGGCCTGTTGACCGTCCGCGGTCGGGCCGAGTGCACTATCCAGTCGGCGACCACGCCCGGCGGCAGACCATTACGCCGGCCGGCCGCGCGGGCACGCACGGCAGCACTCGGCCAGCCATGCGGCAGCGACGCACCGCCGCGCCGACGGCCAGCGGGACCCACGCCGCGCCCCCGGCCGGCGTCGGACGCGCTGAACGGACGCTGACCGCGTGGCTTTTGGCGAGAGCCTCGTGTTCACCTGCGGTCGCGGCGGCGGCGGTCGGTCCTAGCCAGGTATGGACCAGGACTGTTTGTGGCCAGCAGAGCGACAAAAATTCGGCATCGCAACCCGTTCAAAGCCAGCATGACTAATCGCCGGAGCGTCAGAGGCCGTCCGTGCTCGAGCACAGACGCCCGGCGACGTAACGTGCACGGCGTTCGACCGGCGCCGGTGGCGGCAGCGGTGGCGGCGGGGACGGCGTCGGTCTCAGCGGCGGGCGTCTGCCGGCCAGGCCGGCGGCGAGCCGCGCTCGCGACACCACGTCTGTCCGTCCGGGCCGCCGACGCCCACACCGTCCTTATCTCGGCGGACGGCAGCGCGCGGGGACAGCCGGGAGCGCCACCGGCGCGGCCGATAACGGTGCAGGGCCCACCCCGCCGCGACAACCAGCGACGCGCTGCCGCTCCCCGACCGGCGCCCCCGGCGTAAACACAGCGCCGGCCCCCAGTCAAAACAGTTATCACCTGTCAGCATGGCGGCGGTAACCGCCGGACGGGTCACCGCCTGACCGCGGCGGCAGCAGCCGCGCCACGCCACGTCGCGCAGCGTCGCCGCCTGGCCGGCCGCCAGTGGCCGGCGCGGCCAGACGGCGGCGCCCGGCGGCAGCCGTGCCGGCACATCGCGGCGCCGCTCGATTGTTGTGCCGGCCGGCCGGCAGCGTGTGTGGCCTTGACGGCGGCGCGCCGCGCCGTGCCGCCCGACTAACCCGCTGCGAGCCGCGCCGCGCCGGGCCGCGCTGGGGCGGCGCGAGCCCGGACTCGGCAGCCGGGGCCGCCTCGGCGAGCGGCAGGCCTGGCGGCGCCGCCTCCACCGGTTCGCCCGGCCGGGCGGCCGTCGCGCGTCGTCTTGGAGCGTATCCGCGCGCTCGGCCGCACCCCAGTACCGCACGACAACCCGGACGCGCCCCTCGGCGTCACGTGACGTCACGCGGGGTGTGACGTCACAGCGCGCCGTCGCCGTCGCGGGGTTCCCAAGCACGTGCGGCGGGAGTGGCTTCGGCCGACTGGAGCGCGAGTCGGGGGCCCGGTCGGGGAGTTCGGCCGCCGGGAGACGGACGTGCGTCGGAGCTACCGCCTCGCTGTCCATACCGAGCACGCATCCCATGAATGCGGATCAGACGGATCTGCTTCTTATCACCGCTATTTGAGATGTTTAAAGCGACGCCTTCTCATTCGCCGAACGCTGGTGCATGTCGTCGTGCGGTCCAACCTCGCCGCGCCACGCGCCAGCAGACTCCTCCGCGGGCCTGTTTCTCTCCATGCTGGGCGCCCAGAAGAGGTCCCAATGGGATTGAAAAATTCCTAAGCAATGTTGAGACACCAACAAAACTTCTTGGTGTGACAATTCTTTGCAGGGCATAGAAGCCATACTGTTGTGAAATATGTCACTCATGTCACACATACTTCTCCACAGATCTGATCAAGCTGAAGGCTCATTTTGGTGGGTAATTCAGTGTTTGCCACATTGGACAAAGGTACAGGGTGAAAGCTTCCTGTCTGCCAGCCACAGCAATTGCTGAGTTTGTGAAGCAGCTTCCCAGAGTCCATGACTCATGACTAGGTTCCATGACTTTCCAGGACTTGAATCTATGATTCAGTCATGACATCACAGGAGAAAGGAACTTCAGGCAATACCAGTTCGGTTATCCCCAACTTTAGGGACGTGAGAGAGGCACCATCATTCAGTCATTATCATGACAGACAGAAATTATGCCACAGCCATTGTCATAAGCCCAGTGACAATCCTGCAGTCTCCAGCCCACAAGCCCACCTGAAATGCAATGTGTCATGACAGCAAGTTACTGCATGGGAATCCCAGCAGTCTTGCAGTGATGCTTCCCTGACTATGTTAACACAGCAACAAATGTCATGGATCTGCTCCACAGAAATTCCAGAAAAGTATGCCTTCAAGCTCATCTAACCTAAAACACAACTTGAAAATTGTTTTTTTCCAGGGCTGTGATACAAAAATAAGATGGTGGTCTGGTTATCAATCAAGCTCATAGTCAGCCAGGACAATGTACACTCCCTAAATCTGGTGTTTGGCAAGCATAAAATCACTCATGAAATGCTGGAAGCTATGAAGCAAGATTGCTGATACATTTATCACTGTAAAACAGATTTATCATCATATAACATAAGATATAGGCTGAGATCATCTCATTCACAGAAGAAGCCCTCAGACTTCCAGTAACCACAAAATTCATATCACACAAAGGCATACCTGATAGTTGCAGTGGGTGATGGCAATGGACTAGCAAAGTTGTTGGCTTCAATCTCTGGTATGTTGATGCGAAGTTGGTGGAATGGCTTGCTGCTTGACACCTCATCCTCAACTAGTGAAGAAAACATAAGTCGCAAACTGGTGCTTGGAAAACGGATCACGCAGCTGCAAAGCAAAACCCATCAAGGTCACTGTCTTGCAACATGACTGGTTCTTGAGATAAAGACACCAAATTGTTAGGAGGTCCAAGATGTTTCATTAAATCCATTACCAATCATCTTTATTACATTCACGCATTTTAGGCATGCCAGTCAGCACCTAGCCATCATTACTTCATGCTGCATACAAATAATTTTTTGGCTTAAGCTGCATTAAAACTCTTGCAAACACTTTGATCAGTCCAGGAGTTCATCTAAACCAAGTAAAAGGAACTTAAACTTCCCTACATGCAGTCATAGCTGAAACTGTACTTATGATGCAACTAAAGATAGGTGCTGAGACTCCTGGTGAGTAATGACCAAACCATGTTAAACACTTTTGAGCAGTGTATTAAGCATTTATCTTTGAGCTCAATGAAAATCATCAAAGTTTATAATGAACAAGAGAGGAAATTGATGACAGCTTTTAAGAAGTAACTGGCACATTGGCTTTGAAAATTCTGAAATCTGAAGTCATACTTCTACCACCATGTTGACTCTGGATGGCAGGCTTAAGGTCAAAGCATGAAACATGGAGAAAAGTACAAAAGCAAACATGGCAATATCCACATTGAGTGATCATTCAAGAATGGCACCTGTGCCTTAACAAACAGCTAAATATAAAATGTACGTTCAAATGTTTGAGGAATTTATGCTTAATACAGCGATTTAACTTATATCATAACAAAATAAGCGTTTAAAAAACATCTCCGGTAATCGCATACGCCTCTAACTACCGCCGCAATACGCAACAGTGCGCCACAATCGGCACGGCGTGGTTTGTTTACAAACTTACTGTCTGGGGAGCCTCAGCGGGGGAGCGGCTTTGCGCTGAAAACCACCATCCACAAACACTCCATTCTTGCCATTACACTTCAGATAGAAGTACGGATTCTCAAATATCATTTCGAGATGGACGCGGGATATAAAACTTGAATGTCCCATGTCAACATCCACCTCTCCTTTTGAACTGTTGCGGCCGATGGTGACCCGTTTCCGGCGCACCCAATACTCCATATCTCGCCACTCAAGCTTAGCAATAGCTGGTTCTTGCTCGTTATTGTCCCACCTCATTCTTGCTGGACTTGCAGGAGCACTCCGCAACGCCAACAACGCATACGCATCACTATCTGTAGGCTCTGCTATAGCGGCCATCTCCCCTTCTCACAACACACGGCACGTGAAGGAAGTCAGGGTTGACTCATGCGCAGTTACCCCACCCGCATTTTTATTTGCACTCGGCGCTGGGGACCTATTGGTGGATATAAATGACGTCATACACATTCATATTGCACACTGTATGCAGAGCGAGGTGTTTGTATCAAAATAAACATCATAGTTACTTATGTTTATAAATTTATAATTTCAAATAGTCAGTTTTAACACATACACATGGAAGGCAATGCTCCTGTCCACACACTCCCACGCATCCCTCGGTGCTTGTTCAGTTCAGTGTTGATATTGTCGATAAGGGTTAGATAAAGGCAAATTACGCTTTTAAATGTATGAGATTGTCTGAAATATATGTTCTAGGTAGCCAATCCTGATAGTTCATCTGTATTGGTGCAGTATTACTTTGCGTGACGTCAGTATACCTTCAACGGAAATGGTGGATGATTGGCGAATGCTCAGGCTTTTCACTGTAATGAGTGTAAACAGATAAAAAGGGATGGCACTAAAGCAGACGAGTAAAAAGAGAAACAATGCATAGATAATGGGATTTTGCCGGCATGCCATTAAGAAATTCACAAAAAAATGCAAGCATGAACTGTATTACATTTGAAACCATTCAGACAAGCTACGATGTGTAATGTTCGTCGGCCACCAGGGGAAGAAGAGATGACAACTCATGTTTAGCATCAGAAGTAGGTCATGCCGAGTTTTTAATAGTGTGTTTAAATGTAGCATGCCTTAGCTCAAGGTCGCCTTTTCAAGGTCGCCTTCGGCTTTGCTGACAACTCCAGCGATTAAAGAAAGCTGTTTTCAGGTAGGCAGATCATTTCTGCAATATATATCTCGCAGGTCTGGAATGAGCGTCTTTTTATCGAACGTTGAGGAGCAGGAGGGCACCACCGTTTTTCCCGCCCCGAACTGCACTTAAGTTCACCATACCGCTTTCAGCGCTCCGAGAGCAGTGTTGTGTTGCTATTGCAGGCATGGCGAGCCAGGAGACTACAGACAGGTCGTCCAGGACCGAGGAAATGGTCGCTTCCCATACCGAGTGAGGCCATGTGGGCCGTCATCAGTACGCGCCAAGGACGCATGGATTAGAAAACGGTTTTCCGCGCATGGAGAAGAACGTGTCGCACTAGAGGTACGGCGACGCATTACTGAAATCTTTAAGAGCGGACAGTGCAAGCGCCGGACGTTCGTTTTTCCACACAACTCCCTGTGGCAGATAGCAAAAGTGTCAGTTTACACAACAGTCGCTAGATAGACGCAGTATGCATGGTCGACCAGCGGCTACCTCTGCTCGGCGCGTGGATAACCCGCCACCCGGTTTCCCGAGCAACCAGACGCTTGTTGCTTGATGGGTCGTCATGGCCTTCAGCGCGATAGATCTGGCTTTACATATGTGTGTGGCATATTTAAGGGTCAGTCGGTCGGCGGCTTAGTTGCCATCAGCTAGCTATCCCAACTATCAATTTATCGGGGCCCCGGCTGGACGGATTTTTGTAGCAGCGCAACCCGGACTAGTCCATGCTAGGACCAAGTCCCTTGCATGAAACGGATTAAGCTGCGGTACTGCCCAGGTAGAGTCAAGCTTGTGCCCAGCTGGACATGAATGCTGTGAATGCTGTTGCAGGATGCGAGTGAGATCTGGCTGGGCTGGTGCCGGTTGCCTTGTATTCCAATTAAGCTAAATTCCAGATGGGGCGCAGCATTTGCCAGGGCCGCACCATAGTTACATTCTTACGGGCGGTGGGGCAGCGTTGTCGGTGTCGTACGCGGCTGTTATATGAGCTGGGAGACAAATCAAAGTGTGATGAGCCATACGAACATCCCGGCAGGTTGATTACATGCTTATTGGGACATCCGTTGTCTGCCAAGGCAAGACCAGGTGAGTTCAATATATAAATAAATATATATATATATATATATATATATATATATGTATATATATACACATATATATAAATATATATATATATATATGTATATATATATATACATATATATTTATACATATATATATATATATATATATATATATATATATATATATATATATATATATTTGAACCGTTGATTACAGCCATCAGGCTTACGTGATCAGCTCCACCAACGAGTTATAGGCCATGACTTATGAAATTATCTACATTTTACCCAATGATGGCCAGGAACTAAAGGTCAACTGACTTGCGCATCCGGTCTTTTCGAGATCCCGTTCCGTTAAACGAACAACCTCATATAAATCATGTGCTCAACGTGGGCTGTCGTGCATGGTGCCAGCCCAGCGTGAATTAAGCCTAGTTCTGAACTACGACCCAGGAGCCGAATGAGTTCCGACGGACAAAGGTCCTGGCTTGAAGGCTTTTCCGCTCCCAAAGGTTTCGTCTTGTCACCTCCGAGTCGTGTCCTGTCAGGAACTCGCCCAATGGCAAAGATGTGCTTCCTTGAAACATTTTGAACTCTGCAACCGTGTCTCTTCTGTGACGTCGGTAGTGCAGCGAAGGCAGTTGGAGGAGTTTGAGCCTCGCAGGATGTGGCCGGTGCCTTATTCCTCGGGCGAGATGCGCACCTCGTCATTGAACCCGCTCCAACCGCTCCTGATCCGGCTCGCCGAACGAACCCTAGGTGATGATGCCCGGCTCGCCGAACGGACCCCAGGTGACGACGTCACACCCTCGAACAGTTGTGCCAAAACGGGTACACCATGGTCCTGAGAACAGTGGCCGCCTGGAAACGTCGATGTTGGCGAATGATAGTGTCACATCTGGTGACACTTTCAATGTCAATGACGGTGTCACATCTGCCAACATCTGGCTGGCCTTCAAAACCGCCTCCGCCACCTGCACGTGGAACATTGACCTGCATGAGCACCCAACGAAAATTCTAAGGTACACTTCAGAAGGCACAACTGCGATTTCGTTGCCGTTCAAAAAGAAGGGCAGTCGCGGGTTGCAAGTGCTGATGTGCATTACTATACACATGGATACGTTGAATGGTAGCAATCATCATCCTTCAACAATTCAACAAGTTCATTTAACAGGGGTATATTTTCACAAAGTGAGCAAGGGGGGGGGGGACTGGAGAGTGAAAAATGGAACAACGTAGCCAACCAACCCCAAACATGCCAACAAACGGTTTCCCCCTGCTTTGGATCACTTTCTTCCCCAAAGTAAGGAGGGGCTGGAGCCTAAGTTGAGGGGCGGAGGGTAGCTGGGTAAGCCCCACCGAATATGAAACTTCACCTCTGCCACTGAGGTTGACTTGGAGAGAAAAAGCGGCTGGGAGCCTCGACACACGACAGCACACCTTAGTATTATCTGCGAATCTCTTGCCCGCGCTTCGGGCTTCTGGTCAATCGTCGACGAGAAATAGTGAACAAAATTGGTCCCTGTACCAATCCTTGAATGGCATTGCTGGCGACATCGGCCCAATCATAATGCTTCGAGCCATAGACCCGCACTCCCTGGTTCCGGTGGTCGAAAGCAGACTTTTACTTTACAACTTGTTCTACAACTTTAAAGAGCTGCGGGACATTACAGCTCATTTATTGACTAGATTTTAGTGCCAGGCTTTGGCTTGCCTAGCAGTATTTGCCAACTGGCATAGCACATGACCGAGTTTGCACGGCAAAGAAAGATAGGCGCTATTTACACCAGCATTAAACGGCGTCTGATCTGGTGCTAAATCTGAATGCGCGAAAAGCCGGGATGGACAGCAGCGATGGGTTCATCGTTTCAACCCATAAACGATGGTTTCATCGTTTTAACCCACAAAACGATGGGCTCATCGTTTGTCGCCAGGTCCATCAAAATGAACCGAAAGTGTTACCCTGAAAGCGATACAAAAGTTGCATTCGATGTTGCCAACAGTGAAAATTCCCGTTGCAAGGTTACGCTTCTGACTGCTATTCATAACGGCCCTGCGGTCGGAACCAGATGATATGTCGCCCCTCACACGGCCGGGGCTATCTCTGGGGTGACGTGTCTGGTGACGAGGCACCTGTCGGGGCTTTATCAGTCACGTAGTCACCGATCGGTGGCTGTCCCTGTGGTGGTATCACATCCGGCTGAGCTGATTGTTGGTGTTTTACAGCGTCGGCGGAAATCACGCGACATTGGCAGCGGAAGTGCTCCGTATGATGTGTTCCATGCACTGTGGTGCGTTATTTGAATTTCGAAAGCGTCCGTTTAGCTCCATTCTTCCCTTTGGGGAATACGACACGCAATCATTTTCCGGTGCAGTAATTTCAACTCACACATGGCGACGTAGACTATTATCAGGCTCAACGATCAAAGGGCCCGATCTCGAAAACGATATTTGCCCCCAGGCAGACCGTCCGTGGAACAGCTTCGTCCGACATCGCGGTGAGCAATATCCGTTCCATCCATCGCCGCTCGTTGACGGACACGCCCCTCACAAGTACTCGTGTTACATAATATCGTATGTCAGTTGATGCTTTGTAGCATTATTCTTCAGCACACGTAAGTAAATCTGTGGTGCTTACCGCGTGGCGTTTTCCCACGCCACTCGGGCTGTATAATATAAATACACCGCTGTGCGGGCACTCCTCACCTATCTTACTGTCGACTTCTCCCCGATCCCATCTTTCGGTTGGTATTGGTCTTGATGAAAGGGCATAATGAGGCATAATGGCATATGTCATAATGGCATATGTCATAGTCATTAGCCAGTATCAAACCGTGGGCTATGGCGTCGTTAACGGCCTTGCGTTG